GACATCATCTGAACTTTTACCAGTTCAGGTGTGACTTCACAGACAGTTTTAATCCAACTGAATTATTACCCTTTTTACCCTCACATTGATCCATAACATCAAATAAAGTCATAATAATACATAAAAAATTGCAGATATTTTAACACATACAGTCATTTATTCTCGTTTCCAGAAGCTGGAATAACACTTTCTATTTAGTGTTACTACTCTCAAAACCTTTATATTTGTTGAACAAAGCATGACAGCTGGGAACATTATTGAGACTTGTTAGATTTCTTTAAAAATGCATAAAAACTGCTTTAAATGTAGTTTTTTTTTAGTTTCTTTGATTTTTTCTTTTCAGTAGCAATGACCTGTTGAGTCTCAGACACAATGATGTCAGGTTTTCTGCCTACAAACATGCCCCTGATAAAAAAATGTGTATTAAGGTGGTGATGATGTGATGATGCAGGAACCGTACCAGCAGCTCCAAACAAACACTGAAACGTAGAAAAAGCAAAGGGAGAACTCACTTGAGCATTCCATTGGCTAAACCTGATGACATCTTTGCAAAGGTCTGCTCCAGCGGCTTCTCTGAACCTTTCTGATTCACCTGGGAAATAAAAACATGAACAAACAGTTTCACACATCTGTCTGGGTTCATGTTTGTAACTCTGTAATGAAGGGAGGAGCCTCACCAGGTTCAGCACAGTTTGTTTTCCGTAGAGGATGATCTGAGAGTCAAAGTGTCTCTGGAACCCATCCATCTAAAACACAAGTTTTCAAACAATCAGCACCACGTTTTCTCTTCTGTCCTACTTTAAATAAATCAGAAACAAAAGCTCCTCTTACATGATTCATAGCTTTGCTGATGATAGGTTTGGGTTTGTATTTGAGGTTGGGCCTCTGACTCCAGTAAAAAGGCATCGAGCCTCGAGTCTAATAGTAAGAAAAGTTATTCTTTTCAAATTACTCAAATCTCACACTTTAATTCCCACAAGCACTTGAGAAAAATACAAACGTCCAACCAAAGGATGGGTCTCCATACTTGCCTGTACAAATGAAGCCTTTGCTCCCTCGTATATAACGATTTGCTCCGTCTCCACAAAATTAGCAGCATGGCCCTCAGAGTCGATGCCTGTGGAGACAGCAGGGCAGAAAACGTCTTGAGGAGGAGGGGGGAGGAGGACAGTCTATCACCTGCTGTTCCTCCTCCCTGGTTTAGGTCCTATCTGCTGCGTCGTGCACTCTGAGGACAAGCTGCTGAGTCAAAGTGACACAATCTGGTCTGTTGGGTTCCTTAGCTGGGTGTTGTATAAATGCTGAGTCAGCTTTCATAATGAGCAGCTCATTCAGGAGGTACAGTATGCCTTTTGGGATTTGTAACTTCTTTACCTTTTAGAATATTTACTTCTGTTTTCAATAAAACGATCGCTTCATTCAGCAGAAAGTTAAGAAAATAGTGTTTGTATGAAATGTGAAATTTTGAGGGTTTGAGTCGTTTTAAGACAGCAGCTTTCAGTCTTTGATCTGTTTGGACTGGCTGTGAGTTCATCGGTTCTATCAAATATTAGGTGAATTTATAATCTATATTTATACTTTTTTTCCCTCACTGATGTGTTTGTGTGAATAAAACTGCACCTTTTTGTTCCCAGGGAACCTGTTCTGTGACCAACCTGCCAAGGCTAACTTTACAACAGTTAAAATCAAACTTATAAAATAAAACTGATGGAAACACGGCTACAAACAGCTCTCTGTGTACGCAGTTTCACAAAAAAAAACCTCTCACAATCTGATCTTTGACAGGTGCACAACTTTAAATACCTTGGTTTTGTGCAACACTCTGTGCTGGGATGATCATGTTGAATATCTGTTTCAGACTGCTGTTTTGTGCAGACTTGGGCTGTTTGGCGTCCAAGCTAAGCTCATGCAGACCTTTTATAATGCTGTATAATCAGATTTATCATAGAGAGCTTGGCTTGGCTTGCTTACTGTGCTGTCTAAATGTAGACTTGCTAATTTAGTGAAAAGCTCAATGAAAAGAATTGGGTGGAAATCTCAGCTTGTGCTGTAATTAAACAGGCACAAGGCTCTTACAGCACACGTCTCTGGTCTCTTTGCAGATTATGAATAATTATTACCTTGGGGAATGCTAAAGCCATTCTCTGCAAAGACAAGCATTTCTATAAACATCCATTTCTCTTCTTATTAATAAATCTTGATTACCGGTTCTACTGGTTAGGGCTGTGTATTGGCAAGAATTTGATGATATGATACATATCATGACAGACGGGTCATGATACGATATATCCCGATATATTTTGATACTGTAAGAAAGGTGATATATTGCGATTTTTTTTTGGTCCAAAAATTCTATTAAATAAAAACCTCTTACTGGAAAAAAATGAAAAACCAAAATTTATTGTCTCAGAAAATTCTATTACATAGACATGCGCTAGCCTTCTGTAACGTGAAGGCTGACTAAAGTTGGAAAAAAAGTGCAAGAGACACTTAATTTGGTTTAAAATACAGACATTCTGACAAATAAGTAACTGTTTGTAACCTTACCTCA